CACCGCCGGCCCCGGGCCCGTCCCGCCGAGCGGCGCCAGGAGCGAGGGAGCTCCCATTGCAGGGACGGGCCCCGAYCGCCCGCCGCCCTCTCCGGGCCCCTGTGCAAGGTCCTGCAGGTTTGCTSTACGCTCCTGTGCTGCTTTGGGCGCGGCCGGGGTTTATTTTCTTCACAGCGGTTGTGTTTTGGATTTGTGCTGAACACGGGATTGATAATGGAGAGATGTTGTTGCTGGGCAGTGCTTACACAGAGCCAAGGSCTTTTCTGCTTTCTATTCTGCCAGGTTTGTGAGGAAGTTGTAGGTGCATGGGAGCTTGGGAGGAGACACAGCCGGGACAGGTGACCCCAATTGACCAAAGGGATATTCCAGTCCATTGACATCACGCTCAGTGTAGAAAGTGGAGGGAAGAACAAGGATGTTAGGAGTGATAGTGTTTGTCTTCCCAAATCACTCTTATATGTGATGGGCCCTGCTCTCCTGGAGAYGGCTGAACACCCGCCTACCCTGGGAAGTAGTGAAGTAATTCCTTATTTTGCTTCACTTACATGGGTAGCTTTTGTTTTCCCTAATAAACTATCTTTATTTCAACCCACARGTCTTCTAGGTTTTCACCCTTCCAGTTCACTCCCTGATCCTGCTAGTGGAGAAGTGAGCTGCTTGGGGCTTGATTGCTGGCTGGGGTTAAAGCACGACAGCTTCTATGAAAATGTACCTCAGTGTTCAGCAAAAGTCAAGAAACACTAATGACTTTTCAAGAATTATTAGGAAATAAACAGAAAACCCCACAGACTTATACCCCTGCATGTGACAACTGGCCAGCATTTCAAATGCTGCTCTGATTCTTCATCTCAAACTCCCATGTATTCCATAGGTGAAGGGGCACTGGCTGCAATTCAGGAATATTCGCAGGCTTCAGAGGACACAGATCTGCTGAAGCCTTCTGAAGGTGACTATTGAACAGACACAATCAWCGCCATCATGCCAACAGTCATCTTTCCCTCTAATTGGGCTGAACTCTATCAAAGATTTCAAGATATTTCTAAGATTTTTTTCTACATGGGAATTCCATTGGGAGAGAGAGACTTACCAGATTGTAACTAGCTTCTTTTCCTTTTCACTGAAGGCTGATCTTCCCAAAGTGGCCAACATTTCCCAGTTCTTCAAGATTTTAATTATAAAATCTATGTTGGTAGTTGCTCACATGGCAAAACATATTAACATTTTCTAGATTCTATTTTTTAATAAATACTGATGTATGCAAGGTTTTAATTCCTTCTTAAGAACTGCTGAAATGTACTTTTTTATGGTTGGTTTAAAAAAATAAGTACAGTATCTGTACTTTTAAAACCAATTAAAATCTATTATGTCTTCCATGTTTAGAGCATATTTTTTCCCATGGGGATATTAAAGAAAATTTCTATCACCCATAACTTTTTAAGCAACATGAGCTGTAGTTTCTAAAGAATTTTTTTTCTCTTCCAAAAGTCCCTGTGTCAGATCTGCTAAGGTGGCAGGGGATSACTGCAGGGCCCTTACTTCAGTCTTTATTCATGTGCTTTACCTCAAAAAGAGATAATAACAATATATGTGTGTCTTAGTTTCCCAATTCCCACTTTTTGCCTTCATCTTTGCAAGTAARTTTATCACTGTCAGCATACAGAGCAGGACAGATTTGCTAACCAGCTTCAAAGGACCAATCTTTCCTTAATGGAAAAAGACCAAACTGTATAGGAACCTGCTGTGTAATGGAACATCAGCTTCATTTGTACATTCAATAACTTAGATTATCAGAGCTCCCCAGTGTTGGCCTCCCCAAGCTCAGAGCCACTCTGAGCTTTCTTTCAGTGGTTCTCATACAATCTTGCATTGTCTGACCTGCCTCCTTGCTTCATTTTTATGGCTCTTCCCTCTCTTCCTCCTCAGTTTTCCCTTCCTTAGGCTTCTGTTCTGGCTCCTGCTCTTTTAAGTGACTGAAAAGAAGTGAACCAGTATTAAYCTAGTAAAGTGAATATCCTCTGTCAGATATCTTAAAGCTGCTGAGAGGATCTTGAGGAAACAGCCTGAGGTAGGAACAATAAGGATAACAAAGGTCACAACTCTTCTGACTCTTGTCTGCAAGGTGAATATTACCACTTCACATGTGCTACAGTGCTAAAATGCATCAAGAAGCTAGATATGGGGTAAATATCTGTATCTCTTTTCCTCTTTATATAAAATCTGCCACATTAATGACACCAGATTAAGTCTTTGCTGGCCACTGGGTTTCAACAGTTTCATTTGCTTACTGCTTAACCACAATTCTGTAAGTTGTGCCTGAAGTGCTTGGGAGCCCCGTGTAAACTCTGACTCAAGATTAACCARGCTAAAGCACATCTAGCATCTTGAGCATGGAGCTTTTAGCATGGCACTGATATATGTGAAGGAATAAGACCAGACCCAACAAAGTAATTTGCTTCTCTTAGAAGACTCAGAACAAAATTGATCCATTGCCTCTAGCTTTAAAACTAGACTACAGCGTATATTGAAACCATTAGGATGTGGTGAGGGAGGGGAATATTTGGGCATGATTAACAGGGCTTTCAGCTGATGAGTCACATGTCAAAACTGACTGAAAATCTAGGGGGACTTTTGGGTCCAATGACATGYGGTTTAGCCTGCAGCGACTGACAACCTCTGAGGAGTTTGCTGMTGAATGCTCAGGTTCTCAGAACCTGGACATGATTGCTACAGGCACTAAAGAAGAGGGACTTTCAAGAGAATGAAAATTTCTGTAGTTTGAAGGCGGGTTTCCAGGGAAAACTAGGTCTCCTAAGAAGAGAAATCAGAGAGAATGGGAAAAAACAAGAGTCCCTGGGGATGGAAGAAGAGTTCTGACAGCACAGATATGCTGTCTTTGCAAAACTTACTCTGGCTTCGGGGGGACTGTGTAGAGCTGATGCTTCTCAGCTTAGGCTTAGAATGAATGAAAATGCCATTCAGCTCTGAGATTCCTGCAAGATTCTCACAGCAAGTTTTTCAAAGAGGAAAATAAGACTTGTAGTTTGATTCAAATGAACTTCTAAGCATACAAGGTGTTTTTTTCGTCTACCTTTTACTTACCTAAGTAATGGAATGGCCAAAACCATATATTGCTTCACATCCTAATAAAGCTATGTTTATTTGGTGTTGAGACAAATTAAAAACAGAAAGATATAGCGGGACAGTAAATGGAGTCCCTCACATACCTGTAATCCACAATTGCTGTCTGATTCCTGTCTAGATTGTGCACTAGTTTCCCAATTTGAACTCAGTTCAGTGGGATGCTTTGTTGGTGAGAGGAGAAGTGCTAGGAAGCCTGGGTAATTTTAAGCAGAAAAATCCTCCATGTCAAAGTAGGGCCTGGTTATCTTTTCACCGTAGGTGAAACGGGTGGCCTGATGCACAGAGGAAGAGAGACAGGAAAAATMCAGAATGGTGGTGGAGAGGCAATTTCAGTGGTTTTGGCAGGAAGACAACTGTCTACTCCATTCTATAGGTGAGGGTTTAGATGTCTAATTTCACTTTSCCATAGCAGTAAGACATAATATCGAGGTCCTGTATATCCTATACAAACAGTGGATATCTGTGATATTCTAAAGTTGGTTCATTATCAGTGATAACCTGCAGTATTTATTGTCATGGCATTTCTGTTGGTCTCATTCTAGGCTCAGCTTTTGCTATGAATAAATTTAGCCTTTCAGCTTGAACAATTGCAGAATTACCGAATAGTCTGAGTTGGAAGGGACCCAGAAGCATCATCATGTCGCCAGCAAGGCTGGCTGGTGGTTGTGGTGCAGCAGAGAGATTTGCCTAGAGCAGTGCTCTACCAGAAGAGCATTCTGGCCATGCTTTCAGAGGCATATCTGCATCATGGCTTTCCAGAAAGCTGCCACAGGAATCTTTATGTTCCCATCCTTATCAATATTCCTAAGGAAGTTCTCAGAGTTGTAGATTGKGCTGTTTCAAAGAGTTCTCTTGGAAGCAGAGATAAAACAGGCATGACCATGAAACAGACACTGATACCTGCTTCCAGCTCCCCTCTTATTCTTCCGTCACCCTGCTTTTATTCAGCCCATCACTGAGAGATATGACTCCTTATGCAGTCAGCCTTTTGTCAGAACAAAGACCATTTGTTCAGGTTAATTCCATTCTTCTCAGTTATACCTCCTTCTCCCCCACCTTGACATAAGACTCAGTAGTAAACCTGGCTTTTTTTTTTTCTTATAATTGCATATGGTTATTTGGTCCTCATCCCAGCAGCCACTGCTTGGCTAGGCTGACTAATCCAGACAGTTCTGTCCCCCAGATCTCTGATCACTTTAGTTACTCTTCTCTGAATTCTGCCTCTGTTGGAATGAGGACACGCTGAAGATCATAATGGCTATTAAAAACTGCAAAGCCTGGTAGTGCAAGTGTCGCTAGCTGTGAAGCTCAGCAGCATTGTTTGATGTGAGCTAACAGCCCAAGCTTTTGCCTAAGTTCATCTGAACCCTTATCTACAGCTAAGTCTCACCCAATTAGCTGAAAATCTGCACAGCAGTTAAGAAACACAATGAAGCTGGTAGTGCAAGAGCGTTATTTAGCTCAGCAATTCTCAAGTCCTTGCTTTGCTTCCAGCAAGGAGGACAGCACCATCTGCTGCTACCCATGGAAACTGCAGACCTTGAAARGCTGAGTAATGTCTATTTCAGACAGTAAGTACCGTACCCTTGTAATATCATATCCTACTTTTATGAAGCACGTTAATTTTGATGCTAAAGCAAAACTGTCAGGGAAGGATTTTATGAAAGTCTGCTGTTGTGGTGGGCTTGTGATGAGGATGGACAGTCATTGGGATCAGACCTGAAATCAATGAGTTTGTTTCACACAGTGAGCAAGTATCTATTCCCGTTCCTTKTTTTCCCCTCGGTGCTCTAGGATCCCGAGGTAACAGCTTCTGCAGAAGATCAAAGTCTTTGCTTAGTCAGTCTGTGTATTGAGATATGTGAACATTGTGACTGTCTTTGTGAATTTACTTTTCTGAAGGAACTTGGCTGAATTTCTCACTTGAAATAAAACTTATCCCTCTGAACCTACATCCCTCCTAGTGTCTGGAGCATTTGCACTGTGTACAGAGAGCTAAGGACACAAATTCAGTAGCTCACATGCATCATTTCCATGGAATTTGGATGCTGTTGGGGATCTTGGTGATACAGCCTTTGACCTCACCGTAGATGACATCTAGTTCAGGATGCCTTTGACATGCCTAGTCTTCAACTTGATGCAAGTTTCATTCACCAACTCATTGTGGTACACAGAGCAAGGAAAGYGCAGTCAGTGTGGACCCCCACTAATTTCTCAAAGATTTAAGACAATGTAAGGTCTTTGGCACTGCATATTTACAATGACTCAGAATTGAAATGCGAGACTCCCTGCATCACAGGTGGGATGAAATCTGTCAGACAGATTAGATATTTACTTACAAGCATGTGGTTTGGATACTGAAATGTTATTGTAAATTTATGCCATTGACCATTTATCTTGTGAAATGCCAGGTAATTTAGACTTTTTCAAGGGTGARGTGAAGAGAACAACTGTTAACCCTAAAAAGCAGAGATTCATAGTGAGATTTAGGTTGCATTGAAGGTTAACTCTTTGCCTTTAAGATTCTGAAGTGTTTCCTTTTAAATAAGTGCATTTCAGTAATTTATTTTAATTTCTCAGAATTTATTATTCTTTCCAATTATATTATTTTTTAGGCTATTAGTAATAAAACTAGCAGGACCACATCTACTATAATGCAGTCCTTTATAACCGTACAGCCTGTTTTAGTTTTCCTTTGCAGAATGAGGCCTGATTCCTTGCAGATTTGGAAAGTAATTCTCTTTGATCTTAATTTGTGCAGGAAAAAATCTTTACCCTAGAGAAATGCCTGATCTTTAGATGATCTCTGCTGAAAGTACTTGATACTCTCAGGAAAGACTATGGATGAAAATTATTTATTCTGCTTATTTTTAGTTTCTTTCTTTAATGTAGGAAAAAGGAAACGCATGCAGATATGATTTAGATACAACCCACTACATGAGTGTCCAAAACTGCTCATGAACTTTATTTTTAGCTTGTTTCAAATGTGAATATAATATTTAAGTTCCAAGTCCCAAACCTGGTTTTTGTGAAAATACTCTTTTCTTTAATCACAGTGCTCCCAAAGGTAGATGGAAGGCCCTGAGGCCCTGACACCTTTTGTAACTGCTCCCATGAAAAACCAGTGCATGGAAGGGAAGGCCAGGACTGGACTAATATATACCCAGGTCTCTCCCCCACGTTGATGTGCAGTACAACCCCTGCCCTCACTCAGGAGCTTAGGAGCATTTCTCAGTCTCACGTTTTAGAAGCAATGGAGGCAGCACATGAAGTTACAACAATATGTGTCATGATCCCACCTCACTACAGAGTATCCTGAGGTTTGGTCTCTTTGGTTTCTTTTTCCTTCCTACCAGCCTTTTAATGTTTGATTTGGAGTTTTAAAATAGAACTGCTTTGTTTTCAATGCCTTGAAGCATCCRTCTTCTGATCCTCAGACATACTGAGTATCAAAGTACTTCACAGTATCTAGCATCTTAGGCTACTCTGGAGAAAAGACAGCTCAGGGGATTAAGAGAATTCATCCTCTAGTGGTAATACACTCCTTGTTCTAGTTCTAGTTCTGCTATGACAAAATGGAAGGGAGTGAAATGTGGTCAAATCACAAGCACCTCTCCAGAGCTAAACCAAAACCAAATTCTGCATGGCTTCTGGAAGTATTGTCAAATACAGGCCTTTTTTTTATTAATGACTTTGCATAAATGAAACAAACAGCAAGTGGCAAAACAGTTTTGCAAAGGTGATCCACCAACTTCCTAAAAATGCATAGTGTATTGTCCTGGAGTCTTGAATTTGGAGGGAGTCGGTTCTTTCTGATGGTGGTGACTAGTGCAGTGGCAGTGGTCAGGGGATTGCTGGCCATCTGTAAAAGAAGAGTCATAGATCCAGACATGGTGAGAATGAGGATGTCACGTCTAACAGAAGGCATGTTGTTGTAACCTCAAGGATGACCCTTTCTTCCCATTCTTCAGCAGGCATGTGGAAAAACTGTGGTCCCTTTCAATGGGTTTGTCTGTTATCTCACCATATCTTGTCTGTCCCACAAAAGTCTGCAAGCTTCTAAGTGGAGTTAACTTCTCAGTTTACGAAGATGGGTGTGCAGAGAAAGACCTACATTAGCAGCTTTAAAGATGCCCCTTAACCACATACTGCCATTTGCAGGCTCTCTCTCTAGTCAGATMTAGCTGAGAATGCAGCTGACAAGCAAGCTGGCTTTCTAGAGTCTGATCTTGGATTGAGAAGATGCGTTAGTTCTCAGCCCTTACCTCTGGAGGCATTTTAGCTGGTGATTCAGTTTGACCCTTCCAGGGATTATTAATCCCTATTTTACTAGATGACGATTTTGGCTTTTTCCAGGACTTGATAATACTCCTCTATTTTAGGTAGTGCCGTGGCATTGCCATGTTGTGGCAATGGCAGTTTATCCTGTGCTTGAACAAATTCTTAGCAAAACATTTACATTTTGAAGGAGGAAGGTAGAGAGAGGGAGGATTTCTTGTATTAATAGAAACTGCCTGTTTTTCTCACTGTGAAAAATGGCCGGATTCTCCTTGCCACATCTAAAATACCAARACTCACTCTGCTTATGTTTGATTAGCAGAGGAGAGGAATTCAACTTCATGTGATAGCTGTGCCCGGCTGTACRTGTGCCAATGCCAATTCACATGCATCACACACCTCAAGGTGTAAGTTCTACTTAGAGCAGGATATGTGTGAATTCGTTTGTGTCTACTGTGACACTGGAAGGGATAAGACTTGCTGCCAACAGTTGCTTCACATTCTCAAAGAGAATTTCTCATCCAAATTTTCCATGTGTGGAAGGTTGGGAAGAGGCAGATGGTGAATTTAGCTGACTTAAAAATATTCGTTTAAGAAACACAACAGAAAGAAAAAGATTCTGCAGTAAGCTCTGCTTTCCTRTTTCAAGTGAGCTGGAAGGAGAGAAGAGCTGTAAAACCTTGAATTTTGGAGAGGCATTTTTCTGGACTTGGAAGGTCAGAAGTTTTAGTACTATTCTTGTTGAATGCAGGCTTTTYCAAGGCAGGGGCATGTTGCCTTGCTCTCACTTCAGTTTTAATTATTCCATATTTTAAAGATATGGACTTCTATTAGAAAAAGATAACATATCAGTGGAAACACTGAACAATGAAAAGGAAGGCATTAATTAAACAGAATGCTCAAGGAACTGAGATGCTCAAGGAACACTGGATGTTTAGAATATATGTGTGTGGCCRTTATGGTAGCAGGTGTGTTGAACACACTGAGGGAAAAAGAGCATTCAGATATTCATGCCAGTCTTTCACAACGTAATAACAGCACCTGAGATTACTGAAATTCTAATTGTTTTGTTTGCTTTTCCTCTGAAGGACTACTAGCACACTCAGATTCTCATTTTGTCTGAACAGACAGATTAGGCAGCTTAATTTTATTCCTTCCTGGTCTGGCTCTCTTGCTGCTTACTGTGCAATGACTAAAACCATTACAGTTTGAAAGACCATTACTTAAGAAAAACTGAAGTAGCTCCTAAACTTTGCAATCAAAAGTTTAAAACAAACAATGGTTCTGATCCTGTGAGATTTTAGTAGAGTGCAATTTTCTGTTTTATATGCCCTGAGGGACTTTTTTCAATTCCCTCCCCTCTGACAGACTGCTCTGTTACTGTGGTTCCTCATGCTGCCTGTGTKCCATACATGATGCATAGTTGCTAGAGTCACCTGTGGTGGTGAGGGTGAGCCTGTGAGCCAGTCAGGAAGCTGTGGATCTTGGTGCCCTGTTTTTTGTACTACCCACTAGGTTATGAGGCATTTTTGCTAGAGAAGGAAATAAATGCTCACTGTGCTGACACTATCCAGCTCCCTGGTGCCTGTACTCCTGTGTCCTGATTTTTGGCCASGACAGAGTTTATTTTTTCACAGTAGCCTGAGGGGGCAGAGCCTGTACCTATGGCAGGCATGTCTGGGTTGTAATTCTTACCACCTCATGTGACCATCAGGGCTGGAAGTAGAGGACTGTCACTTCTGAGAAGAAGGTGGGCATGACTTGCAGTCCAGGAAAAGCAGAAAGCCCATCATTCCCTATCTTGGGGTCATGCCATGTCGAGTCACGGTGAGCATTTTTTGCATGTAAATAATACTCTTTTGGTATAATTTTATTATTAATATTKTTACTGTTACTGTTAATTTTCTTATCTCATTGCTGTTTCCAGAAAATTGTTATCTCAACCCATAATCTCTGCCTTTTATGTCTCTCGTCTGAGAGGCAGTGGTTTTGTCATGGTCATAGAGAAAAGTGGTGGAGTTTCTAGTACTATTTAATTTCATACCAYCCACATCATGGCAGGGGTGTGGATTCACCAACAGGAAGTTGGAGCTGGAAATGGAAGGAAGGGTCACCATCTTGGACTTGGGTTCAGGGGTGGGCAGTTTTTGGGGTCAGCCTGGTGGAGTTAGCCCTTCTCTGCCACTGGCAGTCCCTTTCCTGTTCCTCTGGGCTACGGCTTTTCTGGTTTGATGCTGTAGCACAGAGCCAGTGAACCCAACATGCTGCTTTGAGAAAAGGAAAAAAAAAACCGAAAACGGGGAGAGAGCAGTGGCCATGTGGAAGGGAGCCCAGCTGAGCCATATGGACCCCAAGCTGCAGCCACGATGGCTGCAGCGGGAGCCACAGCCAGAGCCCAAGCTGCAGCCATAACTGCTGAGCATTCCAGTCCTGCTCCCACAAGGTCAGGCCCAGGAAAAGATTCCCCCAACCTGTTTCAGAACCCTGTCAGGTCCCACCAGGTTTTGTCTTGTCCCTGTTTTTCCATTGTTTTTCGAGCTGCCATGCTGGGCACTGTCTTTATTTGGTGGATAAAATACTCTCATTTACTCTTTTATTAACATTGTTGTGATTATGACTATTTTTCAACAAATTGTGATTGTATCTTATAATCTCTTCTAGTGTTTTCTCCATTATTGGAAGGGAGCAGGCAAAAGTGTTACATTTTCACAATGTGTTTTAAACCAGAATATCTTTAGTTGTGTTCCTAAACCATGGCATCCTGGCTTTGCAGGAGTAATAAGTTACCAGGCATCTGTCCCAGGAGCTGTTCTCCTTTCTCGGAGAACTCCTTATGTCTGAGGTTCAACTCCTTCACTTGGTAATTGTCCTGCAGAGTGACAAGTGTGCAGAGGGAATGTGATCTTCCAGCCAGCTGCAGTCAGATGGCATACCAAGAGCCCCATGTGAGGATGAAAAAGAGGGATATCAGACACATTGAAATCTTCAGTGCATGGGACATCAGCAGCACAGAGATTGTGGGGCTGCGTGTCCCCAAATGGACATATAACATCACAGTGATTATCTTCCCAAAACAGCAAAGGCAATAGGACTTGGTGTTGTGCAAACTTGTTTTATACAGCTCCTGTCTAGCCTGCAAAACATCCTGCAATTCAGTTCCTGTCCCTTTTTCACTCCCACCATTATCCCTTGACCAGGAGCTCTTTCTGATATTAGATCAAGGCGTTACTTCAGGGCAGCTTCTGAAAGTACCAAGTGATTAAGAGGCTTTGAGACAGGAACTATCCAGAGAAGTCAAGCCTCTTATTTTACTGGAGAATTGCAAAAATTTATGGAGTTGGGTTCTCTTAACATGGTTCTCAAGCTTTGTTTCTCAGCCAGACACACACAGCTATCCTGGGAAAACATTGATACAGTTCATCCAGCACAGTGTCCTCTCAGCCTCTCTTATTTCTGAACTAAGCACTTAGYGAAATTATGCTAGGAAATCATGTGGGCAATTGCCAAGTGAAATCATGCCAAGTGAGGGCTGCAAATGACCTTGGATTTCAGGTAACTCACCATTAATGCCTCAGCAAAGTATGGTGCTGTCTCCTCTACAAAGTTGTTTCCCAGGGAAGAAAAGTATATTAACAATGTACTGATCTCTCCTTTGGTGCAGTGCTGGGGTCTGCAGAAAACTGTGCTTTTAGGTAGAACCTCCAGTCCATCAAAGTCCACATCTGGCTGTGAGAAGTTGTGGTGGGTTGACCTTGGCTGTACACCAGGTGCTCACCAAGCCTCTTTGTCACTCCCCTCCTCAGCAGGACAGGGGGGAGAAAATAACATAGAAAAAGCCCTTTTGAGTCAAGATAAAGTTTAATAAGGTAAAAGAAAAGGTCACACACTAAAGCAAAGGAAAAGATTTATTCTCTATTTGCCATCAGCAGATGATGTCCAGTCACWTCCCAGAAAGTCACGCTTCAGTACACGTAGTGGTATAWAGTGGTGGATACATATAGTGGCCCAGAAGACAAACACTGTGATAACAAATGTGCTGCCACTTCCCATCCCCCTATCCCTCTACCCCACACCCTTCTCCTAGCTTTTATTGCTGTCCTATGGTACGGAATATCCCTTTCATCAAGTTGGATCAGCTGTCCTGATCCAGGATTCCAGCTGTCCATATCCAGGATATGTTCCCTCCCAGGAATCTTGCCCACCACTGGCCGAATGATGAGGGGGGATGTTGGAGACAGTGCTTGATGCTTTGGAGGCCAAAACTTTGCTGTGTTTATCAACACCTTTTTATCTACCAATACAAATCACAGCACTATGAGGGCTGCTATGGGGAAAATTAACTCCATCTCAGCCAGACYCCATAGGGGAGTTAGTCACTATTCTACTTTGATCCATGGGATTGGATTTACCCAAGATGTGGGAGATGCTCCAGCAATTAACTAAATTTCTCTTGAGGAACTGGTTTTCAGAGATGCTGGAAATTCAGCAGGCCATATCACATTACTTGAAGTCTAGATTTCCACTGTTACTCTGGGTTGCCATCAGAGACATAGCTGAGAGATTGATTTTGCCCACATCTAATTTTCCAGTCTCTCAGGGTGAGAGACTAGAATGATACACGTTATTTCACTTCTACTACCATCAGATTTTCTGTGCATTACAGTTCCCCAGGACCTGAAGAACATCGAGGTAGGACACATCATAATCCAAAAGCAAACTGGCAATGCTTCAGCTCCTGATATGTCTAGATGCTTGTTAGAGATGTTTTGGAAGAGGAGAAGGGAGTATTAGGAAGGATGAGTCCAAAGAATGGATTGGTTTATTGTCTTTGTGCTGCCGAAGATACCAAGAGAATAATGCAAGATGAGCAATATTAGAAATGTTCGCCAGATAGTAATTAATGTGTAGGTTATAGGTGTATTTAACCCTATATCCTTCCTAACACAAATAAAGCCCTACAGTCATCAGTTCACATACATCTTTGTTTCAGTGAACCAAGAGGCATTTGGCCAAGAATCTTTTCTTTCAGTGTGACACAGATCCCAAAGCCTATTAAATGCAATTTTTATACCCTAGTTTCAAATTGAAGGAACATTTCCACCAGTTCATAACTGAAACTTTTACATTATTCCTTTAATCTATTTAGAAAAGTTTCTTCATGTAYTGGAGGTTGAAATTTCCTGACCAAAACGTTTTTTTCTGTTGGCTAAGCATAAACTGGAATGACTTATTTATGATAATTGCTGTTATATCTGTTAATGAAGATAACAGTTTCAGACTCATCCAACTGCCAGTATATGCACGCTTTTGCTTTTCAGAAGTTTGTACATTTTAAAAGTAGTGCAGCATAAAACATTATGACTTTCAAAATGTGAATGTTTTGCCTGAGAACAACAGTTACTTGGTTAAAATTGTTTCTTTTTTTTCCTATAGATTGAACTTGATGAGCAGTAATTTTGACTACAAACTATGTCAGATCAGGTTCYTGAAGGGATAAATTCTCTCACTACATCTCTGCTCTGCATATGGCTCCTTCTACCAAAATACAGTTGTCTTCCTCTAATTGTGTAATGGTTGTGTTGGTTCTGTTGGACTGGGAAGACAGAATGGTAAACAGAGACCCACAAAAAAATTACTGTGAAATGAACAAGGAAGATAGTTTCCTTAGACACTGGACAATTCCTCCAAACTTCAGGAAGTATTGCGGATCTTGAGCAGGACAGTGATCATGGAATGCGACAGAGCCATGGCAGTGGGAATTGGCATACAAAAGAGATGTATGGGTGGGTTTTGAGTGGAGAGGACTTTCTGTTCTTTTGTGCCAGCCTGGAGACCAAGGTTCAGGTCCCAGCTTCAGTTCAGGCATCTTGGGACTCTGGTGGTGAGTGTAGCACCCTCCCATGCAGAACCCAGAGTGGGATACCAGTCCCTCCAGCCCTATCCATGGTCCTGTGGGGGTTAGAAGCACTGATGGCTTGTGTCCCATGGAAGAGCATCAGCTGCTTTTGAGGCAACTCCATGAAAGGACATCAGTTGCCACACAAAATTTTCATGTGCAGAGAATGAGAAACATTAGTACACTGTGTACTCATTGATGACTTCCAGGTCTGAGAAAGGCCTAAAATTCCTCTTGTTCTTGAGAACAGTGGCCCCACTGTTACTGGCTACTCACCACCAGAGCACTAAGAAAGTCTTTGATGCCTTTAGGTCCTAGACCATGGCGGKTCAGATTTATGTAAGGCTTGGCCAGATTTTGAATGAAGTGTGAGACAGGTGCCATTTCCATCAGCCTGCATGCTTCCAGGTATAGCTCTGTGCCCATAATGTCTGCAAAGGCCTTCTCAGGATGTACAGRGAATAAGTATATTAATGAATTGTGCATAAAGTATCCCTCCTTCTTTATTAAATAAATTAAGCTAYTTAATCAAATTTAGTAACACAATGGAAGAACAGTACAGTTTTACCCCTTATGCATTATCATCCCCTGGTTCTCTCCATCCCTTTATCGCAGACTTCCAGGARTTAATGTATCTTCCTTGCTTATCCATTTGACATTGAGTGACTTGTTGCAGTTTCTCACCAGTCTGCAACGTGACTGATCCTTTTTTGGTGTAATTGAGAACTTTGGACATCAGGCAAAAACATTTTCTTTTATTTTCTCTCT